GTTATGAAGACATCTGACATTTCCACTGGGTGACTAATTTCAATTGATGTTGACACCATCTCATAACACTCCTAAAATAACATTACTTTCTGAAGCACAATTTAAAATGTATGCTGTTTAAAATCTCAAATTAGATCTATTGTCCATCTATATTTTGATTATTATTTAATGGAAACCGTCCATAATCAAAGGGTCATTCAAATTCAATAAAATACTTATTTCACTTCAATAAAATACTTATTTCACTTCCTTCTGTTTTTGTACAAGAATAAATAAAAAACTGTCAAATTATCAAAGACTTATTTCACTCCAGGGTGATAGCAGGACACCCCCATCTAGTCACTCAGAGAGAATCAGGAACATCTGATGTGCAGTTTCAAAATAAAAGACCGTTTGAAGTCTCATATGAGCTATCTTCCTTCTGTTTGTATCCAACAGTTCAAATGTTCGAATTACATTGAACCAGAATTGTCCCTTTTTTCTTTAACAGTGAAGAAAATTGGATATGTTAAAGATATATTGACCGCAAAACTCAAAATGTCCCTGGTTTTAATTTTGAAAATCTGGTCACCTTACCGTAAAAGCTAGCAAACATCCAGTGGTAAAACAGTTAAATGCTATTTGTAAATGTTCATAAAAGATAGCAGATTAGCTAGTTAGCGAGCATATCTTAAATAGCTGAATAACAAATGTCAGGATGTGTTTGTCCTTTGCTTGTAAGTTACAGATAACAGGGCAACTTGAATGCTAAAGGAGCATTTCAGATTTATCTACAAGCGCTGTTGGATTTTTTTCTTTTCAAGTATAGAAAAATACAGACTGAGTATAACTAGCATGATTTTTTGACGGAAAAAACGACCTTCAGGTGAATCTTTTGACATTATTAACACACTCGTATCACGGCACTGTTTTTATTTATGTGGTTTTGTTTCAACCATTTTACTCTGTAGCACTTTGAATTGTGTTTACTCAAATGAAAAGTGAGCTTATAAATCAAATGTATTATTATTATATGTGCAGTTAATGTGGAGCAAACATATCCATACTGTTGGAGTGACTACACTTTGCAGGGTAGTCACAGTGGAAGCTACAACTTAATATTTCCTGTGAGCTCAGATCTGATGAATCCTTGGCTGTAGATATTTTGCAGCAGCACCAGATGCCCCACAGTCCTCCACATCCTCCCACTGAATCTGTTGGAGTAGCTTATGCAGAGAAACACTCAGTGAGATGAGTAAGGTGCACTGGCAGTGACCCAGGTTAATATGGTTAAACACTTGAGTGCCAGCCGGGTGCTGAATGCAGAAAAACACAGCAGAAGTTTCAGAGTTGTGTAAGACTGCAGCGGCTGTGCATGGTGACTGTAATAAAATGTCCCCAAAGTCTTTGTGTTTCTGCAGACCTTGGATTAAATCAGCAACTTTTGTGATGTGCAGCAGGAAGCTAATTAAAATGTAATTACAAAGCCCGTTATGAATTGTCATACAGAGCTTAACACGGAGCGGAAGCACATGGGGTACGGTTATTAAAAATGAAGGTCGTTTGTGTAACGTCATATTAAAAGGAATAGCGTGACCAGTGTAGTGTTTCATATGTGATTGCAGGGACTTTGTGGAAAAGAGGAACCACAGGATCTCTCATTTTAAGGTTTGGTCTTGATAATGTGGTTGTGCACTTTCATAGAGCACACATGAAGCTCAGCGCAAGTTCAACCAGGAAGACCTTCTTTTACTCATTCATTCACTATTTCCACGTTACTACTCTCTTCCTCTCAATAAATGATCGGGGGCGTCACTCCCCAGCTTAACCAATCACTTCGCTCTATTCTCAACAAGCCTATCATAGCGCTCCGCTAACCTTTTAAATCTGCTCTCCCCTCTGACAGCTCTCATTCCAGGTGAATCGGCCGCAACCCTCCTTCCCCCCTCTTCACCAACACTGCTCCATCTGATCCATGGGTCAAGCTAAGCCCCTCCCCTTCAGACCGACCCCAGCTATCCATTCACCACCACCAGGGTCTAGACCCCGGGGGATTTCATCGGATCGGTTCTCCGTTCCCGAATGATACCCCTGCACAACGAGGCCTAATCGCCAAAACTCCTTTACATTCATGTGTATTTCTGGCAATAAAATATGTACTCTTACATCAAAACTGTCTCTTCCTGATTGAATTAACGATGTGCACCATTATCAAAGTGCACCACTTCCCTCTACCTGTGATTTCAGAGAGGATTAAAACTGAAGGCTCTTCAACCTTTCTCTCAGAAAAGCAGAATTGATTTCATCTTAAAGACGTACCATCGAGGCATTATCAAAGAGGCACGAGGATGCTTACAAGATTATGTTGCTCCAGATGTCCTCTGATGAAGAACTGCACACACTATAAAGTGTTCTGACAGTTACAGTCAGGAGCAGCAAACAAAATGAGAACCTGAGATCCTCCGGTGGGTGTGAAGTGGGATCAAAGTGCTTTGGGTCTCCTGTGCCACGTCTGGGTTTGCCTATAAGAGAGGCTAGATGCCTTGGTACGTGATTTACTAATTCATTTGGAATTTGAGATGAGTGATTTGAAGCGTTTTAAATCACCACTGCGTGGCTATGCTCTTTATCCCCAATGTCCTTAAAGATATTTGCTTTTCGTCGTAGAGTTTCTGCTGCACTTCAGAGACCAGCGTGGGCTGCAATGTGAGGCAGATTTCTTTCTGTGGAAAAGCTTGACTTCTTTGCTGAATGTGTGTCGAATAGAAATATAAAGCAATGCAAATACACTGGGAGAAGGCTACTGCTACAAACCATTACAAGGTGACACAATGCAACATGAAATGGGACAACATTAGCTCTAATAAAGACTGGAAATATATGGAAAGATAAATATACTTTGTGTGTTTTTGGTTGTTGTCAGACTGAAAACACTCGTGCTCAGAGCACGGGGGTCAAACTCAAATACACAGTGGGCCAAAATAAACAAATGCACTAGTGGAGGGCCGGACTGGTTCAATGTTTATTGCAAAAACTTAAATGAACTTATTGCACATATTAAACCTGGAACTAACAAAGCTTAAATTATTGCCTTATAAAACAACATGAAACATTAAATAAGCAGTTGCATTCATTTCTTATGGCTCTATCTGCAGCTTTTCCTCAGTAATTTCTTACTGTTAGGGAAATAATTGTCCTAGACTCCAGATATGACGTGCATGACCAACCCTGACGTCTGTTATCTCCTTTACGGAGATAGGCTGCTTCAGCCATAATGTTGTTGTTCCCATTCTGTGACCGGGCAACCCTAGGTCACAGATGGTTTATTGTTGTGGGTACACTGGGACACTTCCTTTTCTGTGTTTGTGGACTCCAAGGTGTGAAATCTTCGAGGCCATAAGTGTCAGACGCAAGTAACTCAGTGTTCCCAACTGTTTAGGCTATCTTCTCAAATATGTTGATTACTCTGTGAAACCAGTTAAATGGGCTAACGAGAGAGAGGCGCTCCAGATTTGACATGGCAACTCTACCGTGAAGTCAGAACCTCTGGCTCTTGGACTTGTGATGTGAATTCTCCGGCCGAAGCTCCTAAATAAACCATCAGTGTTTGACATCAAAGCTCCTGCTCTTCCCGTGTCTCTTTCCTGAGTCGGTGACTCCCCACTGCATTGCTACACAGAACTTCCTCTACACTTATGAGTACATTTTTTCCACAGGCCAACAACAGCTTCAAAATAACTATTTCCCTCAAAGAACAAACCAAACATGCCCTGCTGTTGTGAGAGAAAGTGCAGAAGGAAACATCCATTAAACTCAGGTTGCTGCTCTGTGATGCTAGTTCAAGCAGATACTTGGCATCTCATCTCGGGTGCAAGTTCATCAACGTTTGGGCTCAGGCTCTGAGCTGAGGAGACCCTCAGGATGGAGTGAAGGTGTGCGTGCAATATACCGGAGGGCCAGATCTAAAAGTAATTAGAAATTATCCTGCGGGCCGAAATGAAATCCACCACGGGCCTGATTTGGCCCCCGGGCCTTGAGTTTGACACATGTGGTCTAGAGTAACTGGTCCATGCCTTTCTTTTTAGCAGGCTTGATAATTGCAACTGTCTTCACTGGTCTCTGCAAAAAAGTCCATCAGACAACTGCAACTCTTCCAGATTGCCCAGAACACATTCCCACAGAGCTTCCAGTAACTCAAAGGATAGACTTCAACATGTTACCTTTACTTTAAAAACCACTCAATGGTTTCGGAGCACGATATGTGCTATAACAACTTTTGTTGTTTGATTATTGTGTGTGTGAGCTGTAATTGTCCTCTCATCGCTGTGTCCTCTATTTGTATCTCTTGCCTGTAGCCTACTAAAAATAAATAAATACAAGCACAAAGCAATGTTCCCCCAATGGACTTGATTAAAAATAGGGTATTTACTCAGTGCAGTATGTGTTTGTTTCTTCTAATGTGATGGAGTTAAAGCTCCCCCCAAGCATGTGATTAGTGAGATGGTGATTTCACTTCGGAGGTTGACCATGCATGTGTTGCAGGGCCAGTTGAACAGCTTGCAAATGTAATCCCATATATGTGAAGCACTAAAGCTTTAAGCCGCTGCTGGCAATGGCATTAGGAGTGGAGATGGAGACTGTTAACCTTCGCATCACGGATCAAATCGCTAAATATCTGTTCCTCACACTTCACTGACTGATACGCTGATCTACCGAGTGGAAGTATTAGCTGCTGTTTATTTTACCCGACACAGCGCGTGAATATTCATGAAGGAGCCTCTGCACGTCAGGACCCCGCTTCCTCTCCTGACTGAGCGCGCAGGAGGAGAGACAGCATGCCCGGCTGCAGCTCACCATCTGAGGGGGAAATCTGCTCTCAGACCAGGGAAACAACCACAACAATCATGATAATAACGGAGTGACGGAGCACAGCGAGAGATAGAGGGGGGAGAGAGAGAAAGAGAGAGAGAGAGGGGAGAGAGGAGAGAGAGGGAGGGAGGGAGGAGAACGCCGCCTTGTTTTTGAAGCATGCACATATTCTCTGGACTTCATATTTGCAGAGCGGGACGGATCGTGTAACGCTTTTGCTATCACAGCGCGAGGCAGAGGATAGCAGAGAGGATGCTTCGAGAAGAGTGGCTGTTGCAGTGCATGTGCCGTAAGATGGAGACATATTGGGGCTAAGGATCGTAACACGGAGGAAATATGTTGATCTGCACAGGATGCATGCCTTCCCTGGTGTCGTTTCTCGCCTGTAATATGTAGCGACGACCGAGCAGCTTTTGCTTTGAGGCTCCCGCGAAAAGCGTCGCTCATCCCCGGCTGGAGCAGAGCAACCTCACCCAGGTTCAGTGTCGATGTGACGGAGAGATGCCCCGCTAAAAGTGCGCTGTCCGCGGTGCTGAAGGGATCCCGCAGCTCCTCGGGTCCTGACCTTCTCTCCCCAAAATCCTCCTCCCGCAACAAGACACAGGAAGGTGGGCAAAAAAAAAGCAGGCCACCGCACATGGACAACTGCTGGGCTTGACTTGAGTCAGCCTGGACACTATTCTCTTTCATGGCTGTGGCACGCAAAATCAAAACTTTGCTGACCGTCAACATCTTGGTGTTCGTGGGGATTATCCTGTTCTCGGTGTACTGCAGGATCCAGGACCGGTCCGAGGAGATCATCCAGATGGGGCGTATGTCCGACCAGAGGCTGCGAGCCAGGAATGGGAAAGTTTCCAACTTGGTGGACAGGCAGTCTATTCTGCAGAGGCTGGAGAGGCTGGAGGACGTGGTCTACAACCAGCTGAACGGTAGGGAAACGGATTGATCAGCATAAGAGACATAATCACGACTGAAAAGTATGATTTTGGCAGTTTTTGTCTAATTTAAAGCACTTTTTTGGCTTTATATGCCAAAAATCCAGAATGTGTTTAGTCCACATGCACTGAGCTATAGGTTGGATGTTCTTCCCCGGATTTGAAGCATGACTCATGCATATTTCTGTCAGCCGTGTGGAATCAGCCCGATTCTCCACAGTGTTGTGACTGAGTGCTGCCTCCAAAGCCTGTTAGGGAGCTAATGAAGCAGGGTGCTGGGTTACAGTGCGATACACTATGTGCTTATTGTGTTGACAGACTTTACTAGGCTGTACATTTAACAAGCCTCTCGCACTGCAACACCACTGACCCCATAATTGACTTGTAGTACACTTCACATTAACTTATGCTTTAAGTGTTCTTGATGCCTGGAGTCGTGTATAAAGACTCGGAGGAAACAGATCAGATTTAACAAGCTGTGTGAGTTTTTGAAGGAGACTGATGTAATGGCTCTATAAAGGAATGACTGGTATTTCATTACATGGACAATAGTCTGTGGGACAGTTTGTCTCGTCAGCCGAACGGCAACCTTTAAAATCAGGTTACATGTGATTGTCTTTCTCATTGTGGTCTCCTCTAAGTTCCGCACAATCACAACTGATGTCAAAGCCATCCTTCATGCTTGAAAAGACTGACCTTGATATGTGATCTACCAACTGTCAACGTCATTATAATTAATATAGAGAACACATCAGCGTTTAATAACTTGAGGGAAGCAAATGCCTCTCAAAATCCATTTATAGATCACATAAGCACCAGATTCATGTTCACTTATATTCACACAATGTTTGAATGTATTTTATAAACCAGACGAGTAATTAGTAAATAGTAGTACATTTTTTGTTTGGATTAACTCAATACATGATTATTGATGTTATATGAACATAATACATCATTATTGATTCATCTGTAAGTTATTTTCAGTCAATCGATTCAACATTTTTCCGGAGCCCAGTGTCTTCAAATGTTTGGTTTTGTCCGACCAGATGTTCAAAACCACAATATATAATATCTACTACCATATATGAGAGGATAAGGCAAAGTTAGCCAAACTATTTTGCTTGAAATATGATAGGTATAGTTAATTGTTTATCAACATTGTTATATTTAATTGTTTCAGCTCCAATGGAGGCCATTTAATTCATTTTAAGACAGTTCTTCTAACCAAGAAGTACTATTTTCGGGCAAAGTCATGTTTTCTAATGCAGGTGTAAATATCCTATAACGTTGTTTGTTGTCCAATCCACCTTGATATATAATGCACTTTAAAACCTCCAGACCAAGTGCTCTACACAGAAATACAAAGTCACACTTATTGTGAGTCAAAACTAAAACAAAATATTCAAATTCAAAGAAGCTTTATTGGCATGACCGTATCCAAAACACAGTATAACCAAAGCACATTGTACAAGGTGGTAAACAGATAAACAGTAAACAATTAAACAATCATGTTAACATCATCAAGAAGAAGTTGAACATACAGGATGTATATTTTTGGGGTTTCCTCTTTCCTGTAGTGTGTAATAAAGGCTTTAGTGCATGTTAATGGTCTGCAAAGACTAAAATCCCAATGTGTTACTCTCCCAAAAACTTCTGTAAATTATTTTCAAACATTCAATTGATCAAAAATAAGCTTTATTGGCATGAACATATCAAAAACACAGTATAACCAAAGCCCATTGTACAAGGTGGTAACACAGATAAACAATTAAACAATCATTTAGAAGAAGTTGAACATAACGACCAAATCAAATCATGATTTTAAAAGCAGGATGTATATGCCTGATCACTTGTGGTACAATGATGTGCAAGAGAAAGATGTTAGTGACTCTTGGATTTAGAGTATTGTTTTGACTTCACAGTTCTCCCCCACCCACAGGATGTTGGGGCTAAGTGGGATCACAACAGACATTTGCTCACACTGCTTTGTTGGCATACTTCAAAGTGAGTGTTCTGGTATGAGAATGCAACAGAAATACTACCTTACAACACACACAGAAGCTGGAGCATTTGATTGGTTTGGCAGCCGTGATCACTTCATATCAAACCTCTGACCTTTCCACACAGCTGTGATTAAGGACGTGTTTTAAACCAGAGACTCCTGAAGCCAAACCGTCTTGTTTCCAAGGTAAATAATGGGGAATCGTCTTGGAATAGCACGGCGTTATGAATGATTTATAATCCATCAGCAAAGTCAATTTCTATTCACCAGCTTACTGGACTCCTGGGAAATTGCGACTTTATCATCTGTGTAAATTATACTGACACAGGCTGTGAGGGATGGGGACTCGGCAGAGGAAGGGTGTGTGTGTGTGTGTGTGTGTGTGTGTGTTGTATTTCATTCTGGTCACCAGTAGAGGTCACATATACAGTATGTGTTTACCTGTTAACTACCATCCAGTCTTTAAAGGTTGTTTTAACCTGAATTCAAGAATATACAGATTAGAAAAATATGTTTTATGCAGCAAATGTGTTTTTCTCTCGGCGGAAAAAGCATTGTTACGTAAAGGGTATTCTGCATTTTGGGCTTTCTAGTGCATGTAAATGGTCTGCAAAGGCTAGAATCCCTGTTTGTGCATTTGAATTTGCCAGGATCACATTGAACAAACTATCTTTCTCTCCCAAACCACCCCCTCCCCCCCGTCTGTTTTCCCTTCAGGAACACAGTGACATCCCTATGTCAGTCTGTGACATCATTTGGGCCCAAAAACACCTTTTCCCGTTGACTTACATCGTGAAAGAGACTTCTGTAAATCAGAGGGTACTTCTTTTTTTGTTCGATATTCAACTGCCCAGTATGAACACTTTTCACAGCGTCTAAAAGTTGTAAGATGCACTTGAAGCCAAATCCAGAGTTATTTTACCTCTGACTGAGCTGTGATCAACCGTGACGATGCAGATAGGAGGCGGGGCTTAAGCAAGTGCGCACTCTATTGGTCGAGATACCATCATTTGGCTCTCGAGAGGCAGGACATTTCGCCGTCCCGCCTCTAACGCTGTAATCCGTTCTCTTTATAGATCCATGCATGAAACACTTCCATTGAACTCCTTTGTTAACTTCCGCAACATAATGACATCACTATGTAACAGTTGCGCTTCTTTTGGATAGCCCTCCAACACATTGTACGTGACATGACATCTCTAAGCGATTGACCAGATCATAATTGTACTACTACTTGTAAAAGACACATTTTCAGAATAATATATATTATATCACTGGATTCTAATAAATGATCTATTAATGTTCTTGTACATCTATTACATTTGGCAGATTGTAAAGGTGAAGATAACTGTAATGCCATGTATCTTTATCCAAAATTATAATTTGAATCTGCAAAGTAACTAATGTCGTCCGATTAATGTAGTAAAGATGAGAGTTTTTAGAGAGTAAAATGCACAATATTTGCTATCGAATTGTAGTGGAGTAGAAGAAACAAATTGGAAGTACTAAAGTAAAAACACTTGACTAAATGTACTTGGTTACTTTCCAATACTGAGTATGCATAATCTTCTTCTGACTGGTTGTGATGTTAGAGAGTGTATCCTGCAGCCTGACAGTGTTTCTGTTTCTGCATGATCTCGTCGTTACGCCTGAGCTTCAGCAGATATTTGAGTTATGCTTGGCATCTGGCAACCACTCAGCTTCATATAGAGACAATGCACCCCCTCTCAGCTTCATATAGATACAATGCACCCCCTCTCAGCTTCATATAGAGACAATACACCCCCACTCAGCTTTATATAGAGACAATGCACCCCCTCTCAGCTTCATATAGAGACAATACACCCCCACTCAGCTTCATATAGAGACAATGCACTCCCCTCTCAGCTTCATATAGTGACAATGCACCCCCTCTCAGCTTCATATAGACACAATGCACCCTCTCTCAGCTTCATATAGAGACAATGCACCCCCTCTCAGCTTCATATAGACACAATGCACCCTCTCTCAGCTTCATATAGAGACAATGCACCCCCTCTCAGCTTCATATAGAGACAATGCACCCCCTCTCAGCTTCATATAGACACAATGCACCCTCTCTCAGCTTCATATAGACACAATGCACCCCCTCTCAGCTTCATATAGAGACAATGCAGCCCCTCTCAGCTTCATATAGCGACAATGCACCCCCTCTCAGCTTCATATAGACACAATGCACCCTCTCTCAGCTTCATATAGCGACAATGCACCCCCACTCAGCTTCATATAGAGACAATGCACCCCCTCTCAGCTTCATATAGAGACAATGCACCCCCTCTCAGCTTCATATAGAGACAATGCCCCCCCTCTCAGCTTCATATAGCGACAATGCACCCCCACTCAGCTTCATATAGAGACAATGCACCCCTCTCAGCTTCATATAGAGACAATGCACCCCCTCTCAGCTTCAAACAGAGACAATGCACCCCCTCTCAGCTTCATATAGAGACAATGCACCCCCTCTCAGCTTCATATAGAGACAATGCAACCCCCTCTCAGCTTCATATAGAGACAATGCACCCCCTCTCAGCTTCATATAGAGACAATGCAACCCCTCTCAGCTTCATATAGAGACAATGCACCCCCTCTCAGCTTCATATAGATACAATGCACCCCCTCTCAGCTTCATATAGAGACAATGCAACCCCTCTCAGCTTCATATAGAGACAATGCACCCCCTCTCAGCTTCATATAGATACAATGCACCCCCTCTCAGCTTCATATAGATACAATGCACCCCCACTCAGCTTCATATAGAGACAATGCACCCCCTCTCAGCTTCATATAGAGGCAATGCACCCCCTCTCAGCTTCATATAGATACAATGCACCCCCTCTCAGCTTCATATAGATACAATGCACCCCCACTCAGCTTCATATAGAGACAATGCACCCCCTCTCAGCTTCATATAGATACAATGCACCCCCACTCAGCTTCATATAGAGACAATGCA